GTGGGGAGCAGAGGCCAGAAAGGCAGAGCAGTGAGTGGTACACAAAATGCTCCCAGGTTTAAAGAAACAGAGAAAGTCAGGGTCTAGGTGATGGTCAGGAATCTGGCAGGTCAGAAAGATCGGTACCAACAGGGAAGCAGATTCATGACATCGAGCTCCAGTGTCCTGCGGCTGCAGAGGCCGTTTTGTTACCCCAGCTGGAGCTGTCTTGCTGTCTTTCCTGCCCTGGCAGGGGCTAGAATGTGAAGGAGACTTGCCAGAGGCCTGCAGTGCAGGGTCATGGAGACAGCAGAGGGGGAGTGTGTGCGTGTGAGTGTGTGTTGGGAAGGGGAGATATAGAAGCAGGTGTCATCTCTGCTGGAAGTGGTTCCTGACTTTGGACACCCCAGAGACTATTCCCAAGCCCTATCCTTCAAACCATGCTTTTTACTGCCCGGGACAGCACTCTCGCTCCGGCCCTCCTAGAAACAGTAAATCTGAGCTAACTTCATGGACACCGGTACTGTCCCTGGCTCGGCAGCACCTTAGAAGGGCATAGAGGGCTTCTGAGGTAGATATAATGATAGCAATGAGCGTCATGCTGGAGACCAAATAAAGAACAAACCTAACATCCAGGCCTGAGCTCTGGATACCAGTGGAGGGAAAGGGAAAGTAGTGGCAGGATGCTAACAAGAAGATCATAGAATCTCAAAGTCAAAGGGCCCCTTGAATCCATCCCCTCTCTCAAGGCACAAAATCTACCTCTAATGTCCCTGACATGGTCACCTGGCTTGCATTCCCAGGGACAGGAATACCCAGACCCCCCATGGCAGCCCCTTCTAGCACGGCAGCCCATTCCAGCATCTTCCCTCACATAGAGAGGGTCTCTCTTATGGCGCTTGGACTCTGGTTCTGGTTTGACCCTCTGAGCCTCATGTGTTGAGCTGCAGAAGCCAGAAATCACGTCCCTCTGAGTTTTCCCTTCATTCCCCATGTGACTCACATTCTTGATTTTTGACATCTTGGCCACCCACCACTGCATGAGCTCCTTACCTAGAGTTTGAGGCTCTGGACACATACATTTATTAATTCAGTAGACTTCGGTACATATTGGCCAGTGGTTAAGGGCACAAGTTCTGGAATCACACGCTCCTGGGTTCAAGTCCAAGCTCCACCCCTTAGTCAGTTCCTTAACCTCTCTGGACTTGAATTTCTGAACTCCTCTGTAAAGATAGAATAACTACTTTCCAGAGGATTAAGTGATGAAGAGCATGTAGAGGACCTCCCAGGGTGCCTGGCATATGGTAAATGCTCCAGATTTTGGCAGCCACATTGGGCTGATGGATGATTCATACTAGAATCCGTACTCAACTAAAAGCCAAGGGTCTTGGTCACACACACTGTTAACATTCATCCCTATTAAACTTCATTTTGTCAGTTCCAGGCCATTGTCTCATCCTGTCAGCATTGATTCCGTCATCAGACATTAGTTGGTCCATCCAGCTTGGAGTCATCTGCAGATCTGATAACGTGCCATTTTATATTTTCATTTGGGCTCTCTCTCTAGTCCACTGCCAATATGTTACTCAAGATTCTTTAGGTTCAGCTGCTCAGCCAGCACTCAAGTTGCTCAGCTGCGCTATCATCCAGCCCACACTGGCTCCTTTGATTGAGAATTTTTTTCCCCTCTGGAAATTTTGAAGGCTCCAAAGAAAAAGTTAATTTGTATTCAACAACTTCTGTTTAAAAAGGCTGGGGAAATTATAAAGCCTTCTAGTAAGGCGTCGATCAACACGCAATCAACGCAAAGTTTGGATGCTTGGTGGGGTAAGTTTCATTTATCTAGAACATTCCCTCTAGGGGAATTGTGTGAATCCTCTGCAGTGGCAGAAAACGAGGCATTACCACATGGGTCTTCTGTGTTTTCCCATTTGGTTTGTGCCTTCTCTCTTTTGGAATAGAAGCTTCTCAAGGTCAGGAGGCATTTCTATCATTTTGTATCTCTTTGCAGCAAGACACAGAGAAGGAAGTCTAAGCTCTGCATGCAACAAACTCTTAATACCTGCTGACCGTCGTGTCATCGCCACACCACAAACATTAACCATTTGTACGCATACGTCCAAGCTGGCAGTGGGCGACTCCAGAGCATCAGCTGTGAGACTCCAGAGGTCAGAGATTGTGTGTTTCATTTTTGTCACCCTCAGGGTACCTGGAACATCCCACATGGCACATGGTAGAGACAGAACTCAGAAGATGTTTTCCGAATGCCCAATGCGTTAACGTGAGGGACAAAAGCCATGGTCCCAGAGTCACGCTGATCCTACACACAGGCCTTCCTTCAGGGAAAGCAGACTCTTGCCACACCATCAGGAAACACTGCAACAAGAACCCTTCGCTGAGGCCGGGCACTGCATCCAGGCCACAGAGCCTACAACCCCGGGTGCTGGGAATCTTTGTGGAGAGAGGACATGGACATAGAAAGTTTCTATCAGGGATATCTGATGCACCATCTAAGGGATGAAGATGTCAGGTAGGCTCCACCAGAAGGGAGCAGCACTTCCAGCTGAGGTCTTTGGAGAAGCATCACTGTAAAGGGTCATTGTGCAGGATTTTAAAGGTGGAGGGAATCGGAGAGAACTTTGAGTCAAGGCAAGGGCTAGGCAGGCCCAAGGTGGGTCTGAGGAGTGACAAGCAGGTGATGAGTCTGCAAAGGGGGCTCCTGATTCCTCCAGCTTGCCTCTTCCCCGGGGAGCCACGGCACATGCTGGTAGAGGGCTGTGGCTGCTGCTGGTGGAACAGGTGTTTGGCGTAGGTCTCCATCTGCAAAGGTGAGTGGCTCCCAAAAGGTCATAAGCCATATCCTCTACTTAGTGGCATCTGCCTTCTACAAAGCCAGCTAAACAGACCATGTTTGGCTGAAGCTGCTTCCTGCTGCCCCACCGCTGAATATCATCGCCAGCCTCCCACTACTTTATCCGGCGGACAGGGTAGGCAAGACTTGCCCTCAAATGGCAAGACTTGCCCTCTGGCTCCTCCAGTGCTTTCCATCTCCAGCCCTAGCAATGACAATGCCTAATCCTTCCCTGGACAGTCTTCCTTCTCTCCTCACAGAGTCAGGTTATCCTCCCAAACCACTGACCCAGTAGCCGCCTTATGGGGCTGGCCTTCCTGGCCCGACAGAGGGGCGGGCCCTTGGATGGCCGGTTGCCTGGCAACAGCTCTACTGTGCGGAGGCACGGATTGGGCCGCCCCTCCCGAGGATTCCTGCCCGCAGGCAGCCCTTGGAGAGCGAGGGACGTCATCTCCTTCGAGGCTAAGTCATGCTATCAGCTCTGGGGCTGCCCAGAGTGAAACACAAAGATAGGAATCTATTAATTAATAGCTGGCTCACTTTAAATGTTAGTTAAGATTTAATTCTTTCTGTAAGTCCCTTTTTTCTCTGCCCTCTATTCTCACGACTCACGGCGTTTGGTTTCTCACCTTTAAAGAGAGATGTGTAAAATAAGTTTAAATGCTTTTCTTAAGAAAGGTCGTGTTTACAGCTGGTTGTTCTTTTAGGCAGGCACACGGACCAGGCTTCCTACTCTTTTTTTTTTCCACAAAGGAAGGGGATACATTGGAATTGGACTGCCTGGTGATTCAGGTAACAGGTCAGCGTTTACGTGGGTCCCCAGGATATTGGTGTTGTACCCATGTCCAGGAATAAAAGTACTGCTGATGGTTTGGGGGTTCCCATCCTAAGGGTACCACAGCTACTCATTGCCACCAGCCCTCCAACCGCCAAACAAAACAAAGACTACAGAATAAAACAACAACAACAACAACAAAAACCCAATGAAAACCAAAAAGCCAAATATCCCAAACACAAACCAACAGACCAGCTGGCCGGTTGAGTCCATCTGGTAAAATAGCAAGCACGAATATAGACTTTGAAATCTAATAGGTGTGAGTTTGAATCCAGTTCTGCTACTTCGTACCTTGTGATTTTGAGTGAGTTTCTCTCTGAACTTCTTTCCTCATTTGTAGAACAGAAATACTAAAACCCACCTTGTAGAGACCTCGAGGGTGTCACGTCACTGACATGGGACTTCCAGTGTCGTGCCTGGTCCCTAGGGGGCTTACAAACACTAGTGCCCTTTTGTCTTTCTTCTGTGTCTCTGTCCCTGGTTTCTGTCACTCAATCTTTACCAGAAACTCTAGGCAAAGTTCCAAGTGCTGCAACAAGAGTCTAAACTGAAGCAGGTGTTAATAAATGGGGAGGATCTTTCATCTTGTTTCCGGTTTCTGCTTGTGTTTTTCTTCTTTCCCATTTGTGGTAGGTGTGTTTGCCCTGAAATCCGACCACAGCCTGGGCTTGCTATTGACAATTTCTGTTTGAGCTTCTAAGAATGTGTGTGTGCATGCGCACACGTGAAAGTGACAGAGAGGGCAAGAGGGCAAAGATGGCAGGTTCTAGGTAGGCAGCAGTCAAGGAAAGAATATGCCGTAATCTTGAGTCTGGGAGGAAGGAATAGAATTTTCTTTTAGGGGAAGTGGGTGAAAACATTGGCAGGACTCAGGAAAACATGGTAAGCCTCTCTGTCAACAAGCATTTATTGAGCACCTACTTACTGTATACGGGCTCAGGTTTATAATGAGATTCCAAAGACCTGGGAAACCCAATTCCTGCCTCAGATTCCAGCCTTGTAGTTTAAGTGGACATATAAATGGCTGGGAAAGGTCACAGCCGTTGCCTGTATGTGCCAATCACACCGTTCCTAGAGGGTTTCAGACTGAAGGAGAGACTGGCTGTGATCAGTCAAATAAGCTTCCTGAAAGAGGCAGTTTGAGGGAGATGAGGGTCATGGGAGAGGAACTCAGGGTCTGGAACAGCAGGTGCAAAGGCTTAGTGCTAAGAGGATGTTCCAGAGGGTGAAGAGAGCCCCCTCCTCAAGTGCTTGGTGACTCTCCCTTCAGCTCAAGCCCTCTTTCACTGGCCCAGCAGTGACCCGAGTGGGGGCCTGGGCCACACGTGGTCTCACCTCGCTGGATCGGAGGACTCCGAAGAACGGGTAGAGGAAGGCGGGCACCAGGGCTGCCGCTCCGAGAGGCACCGCCTCAGACACCCAGTACACGGCGGTCACGATCAGCACGTAAGCGCATGCAGCCTCCTGGAAGGGGAGGAAGGTGGGCCGTTAGCTACAGGGCAGCCACTGCCACTGAGAACCCGCGCGAGACCCAGGGTGGAGGCAGCAGGCACCCACACTCGAATGTGGGCACCAAGGCACGGCCAGCCCTGGGAGGTGCAAGGCTGGCCTTGGCAGGGGAATGTGGTGGCTACTTGGAGGGGCCTATACTTGGGTGTGCGAAGTGATGGCTGCTCCTCGCGTGGGTCGTGCCCGGCATGTGGTCTGCAGCCGGGCCTCGCCACCAGACAGGATAGCGCCGCTCTGCTGGCGCTTGAAACTGCGCAGGATGGGGACTGAAATCAGCTCAGGGTCAGGGTCCAGACTCCAGATCATGGTCTCCAATGATGGAATTCCCAGCTTCAACGTGCAGCAGAATGTTTTGGTGTCGAGTTTATTGGCCACTAGTTGTTCTTGGGGTGGTTGGAAGCTGGGATTAGTTCATGCAACTGATTCACGGGTGAGGTTGGCCCATTTGGGGGCTGGGTCATTCCACCTGTGGGAGGCTGTCCTGTGCAAGATGTTTAGCAGCATCCCCGGCCTCTACCCACTAGATGTCAGTAGCACCTCCCAATTGTGACCATCACGAATGTCTTTAGGCATTGCTAAATGTCCCTGGGTGGGGGAGAATTTGTCCCTGGTTGAGAACCCATGCCCTTATCAGCATCTGGTTCTCACTGCTCTGGGACTCCATTTCACTGGCCTGATGCACATGAAAACATCCTTTTTTTTTTTTTTTTTTAAAGATTTTATTTATTTAATCATGAAAGACAGAGATAGAGAGAGAGAGAGAGAGAGAGAGAGAGAGAGAGAGGCAGATACACAGGCAGAGGGAGAAGCAGGCCCCGGGATCAGGACCTGAGCCAAAGGCATACAGTTGACCACTGAGCCAGCCACCCAGGCACCTAGACGTGCCCTTCTGATAAAGGGAGTAAAGAGTGCTATCCACCTGCAAGGAAAGGCCTGGAGATTTACCAGAGTTCCCCCCAACACCCTCACTGTGCTGGCTGTGCAACCTTGGTGTGTACACAGTGAAAAAGCACAACCCTGTTATCAACAGCCAGCCCTCCCTAACCTCAGTCCCTAGCAATGCTGGTTGCTGGGAGTCATGCTGATTAACGGTGCTGAGAAAGGTCACTGACTTGCTGTCAGTGGGGGTCACTGTCCAAGGGCCTTCACAGTGGACTTGGAGAGCCACTGTATAGAAGGCCCGAGCTGGCTATGGGTGCCTCAATTTATACATCGTCCTAAGCCATCTGGGCTCAGGTCTGACCTGCCCCGAGGCTGGCTGGGGATCAAGGAACCTGACCAATCTTGTTCTGTTTATCTCTCCCTTGGGTTCAGAACAAGCGTCCTCAAACTCTTGCAGGAAAGTTACAAAAGGTCGCCAGGACCAGTGAGGGGCGTCAGGAGTGATTAACCCAGCTTGGCTGGATGGGCCCTTGCTCCCTCCTGATATGCATGGATCACCGCCTTGGGGTTTGAGAAATGGGAACGGGGCCCAACAGTTGTTGACTGTAGCTCCTACTGAGATTTCCTCTGGGGCCCAAAGATGAGAAAGAAGTTAAAACTTTTGGAGGTTGCTGATAAGATAACAGAGTCAGTCAGGGGTGGGGGATGCGGGTGGAGGGAACAAAGGCTCCATTGGAAAATAATGCAATTTAGAGACATGCCCCCTTTGTTGCAGAAATAAAACTACTTAAAGAAGTTCAAAGGCCTTGGCCACCTTCAGCCCACTTATTCCTATCTCTTCCCTGGGAAACAGAATGCGGGTCTTAACTCCAGCTGGAGACAAAGGGGCCAGGATATCTGGCCCTCACCGGGAGCCTTTATTCCTTCCTGAGAACCTTTAGCCTTTCTTGTCATTACAGGGCCACGAATTAAGAGAGAATGGAAGAGGAGACAGACTGAGAGAAAGAATGAGAGAGAGAGAGAGAGAGAGAGAGAGAGAGAGAACCAACTTTCTACCAGGTACCATCTTAGTGGGAACGAGGAGGATCTGGGTAAGCCAAGGCACACCTTCTGACTGTAATTATTGTTATGAATTAGAATAGGTTGGCTTGGAAGAAGTCAGCAAGCCACCTTCATCCAGCATCAAGAATAGGACAAACTACCACCATCGTGTTTATCTGGACTTTCCTTAGAGTAGAAGAATGGCCAAGAGACCCCCTCCAAGGGCCTTTGCGTAGTTCCCACCCAGTCCACCCATGGAATTTACGTACACATCTTTTTGTTCCTTCTGAACCTTCTCAAAATTCAATAGGTAAGCTTATATCTAGATAACCCCCCAAAACCTTGGTGAGGTTTGAGTGCAGGCGTCCTGGGGCCCCATGTCTGGCCAGTGTCCGGCGGGTGAATGATGATGGAACTGGACTGGGTTCCTCGGCTGGCTAGCAGGTTTCGCTTATGCATCTATTGGAGAGAATATTCTGGGAGCCCTAGACCCCTTACCACCGCCACTAGTCAGCAGGTGCCTAGGGGTCGATGAGGGTTCAGGTAGTGCCTTTACTTTAAAGGATAGTCACTTCTTGTCACTTCTCTTTTTGCTTCTGTTTACAAATAAAAGAGGGAGCTCAAAGGGGGCCTCTCCCCATATGGGATGTTTCCTGACCCCGCTACCTACTGATGTTTGTGTCTGTTCTTTCCCGTGCTGTCTGGTCACCTCCATGATGTTCCATTCAAAGTTCACTGGAAAGGGCTCGAGGGTCTGTTTATTTGCTGTCATAAGTGACTGTGAGGCCTTTCCGAAATTTAGCTTGGGGTTGTGGGTAGAACTTTTATCCCACCAGGGATACCAAAGCAGGGCTCAATTATGGAGGCCGCCCTCTTGTGCCCTCCTCTTCTGTAACATGCTAAACCAAGTCTGGGCCCCTGGTTTTAGAGAGTTGGGCAGGAAAAGGGGAAAGGTCATTCTAATCCTTCCTAAAATGTCGCTATGGCCTATCTCATTGAAGAACCCATCGGAACAGCAGGCCGGGAGCCAGGTCATGTCTCTCAGTGCCAGCCCAGAGCAAACAGGTCCATTTAGGAATCTTGGGGATTAAATATCAGACTCGAAAAGTCCCAGGCCCGGGAGTAAGAATGGGCAAGAGATGTTCTACGTGTTGGTTTGCGCTTACTGTGGGCGCTGGTGACCACAAGGTGATTGTATGGCACCGTACAGGGTGAGCAGAACTCTTGCTGGCACTGTGGCATGCAGAGGAATCATCTTTGCAGGGCACACCAGGTAAGTGGCAAGCCAGTTGCATCCAGCTCTGAGGGCACTGGCCACCCCAGGCTCCATCTAGCTGCCCCCAGGGCTATGGGCGTCCAGATACCCACCCATGCGCACCAGCTGGGAAGCTCTGGCATAGTGTTACGTCGACTTTCCTAAAAGGGCACTTGTTCTTAACAGGGGTGATTCTGCACCCCCTTTGCCGTCCCTTTGCCGGCCCAGGGGACATTTGGTAATCTCTGGAAGCATTTTGATGGTCCTAGTTGGGGGCAGGGGGACACTGTGTGCTACTGGCATCTAATGGGTGAAGACCAGGGATGCTACAAACATCCTACAAGGCAAAGGACAGCCCTCCCCACAACAAAGAGTTATGTGGCCACGAATGCCACTGCTGTGGCTGTTGAGACACCACGTTTGAAGGTCGAAGCTGAGCCTGACAGAGAAAGTTAGGCCAAGAGAGGACATAGGCTCTTGGTCTCAGTAAGCCCAGCCGAAGAAATCTGTTCAAGGGTCATCGATAGATCCAAACAGAGCAGAGGCTCACCACTTTTCTCTCCTCTTGTTTTAAGATTTTTTTCTCCTCTTTTTTTTTTTATAACACCTGTCTTCCATCGAATTTATAGATTATTTTGCCTACTTCAATAACTTGTGACTTTACTTTTTTTCTTCTTGTGGATACTTCGGTCACTGGTGACCAAGAAGCTCAAAGCCAGGGCCCCAGGGTGAAAGGTAGACAACACCGTAGCCTAGAGTCATGGTCCCCAGAGATGGGGCTGGCTTCGGGGGACACAGAGGTTCCTGATCCCGCTGTGCAGAAGAGGCCCACGTGTCTGGAGAACATTCTCTTATATGCATCAGGCACTGAGTAACAACAACAACAACACACCATGAAACAAGGAAGAAAGAAAAAGAGGAAATCAGCCCATTCGGCTAGAGCAGAGAATTGACTAGCGTGAGGCCAGGAAAACTGTCAGCAGCAAACACTGTCTGCTAATCCCAGCCTGCTGTTAATCAGCGTCTCCCTGGCACTCCGGGGTATTTATTCTAGTAAAGATTTAAGCCAGTTTGTTTTCAAGACGAGCCATTCTAATCCCCTCTACTTAACTTTATAACTCAGTGCTGGTTACCAAGTTACTCGGGGAGCTGCCTGGAAAATCTCTTCTCCGCTCACAAACATGATTAACTTCTCTCAGCTTGTTTTTCCTGAAGTCTCGAGGGTAGTGCCAGCGGGACTAGGGGTAAAGCCCCTGAAGAAGGGAGGAGGAGGGGGAGGAGAGGGGGGAGGAGGGGGAGGACAGGGGGAGAAGGGGAAAGGAGAGGGATGAGGAGGAGGAGGGGGAAGAGGAGAGGAGAGGGATGAGGAGGAGGAAGGAGGAGGGGGAGGAGAGGGGAGCAGAGGGGGAGGAGGGGGAGGAGGAGGAGGGAGACAGGAAGGGAAGGGAGGAGAAGGGTAGTCTGAAAAGCAAGCACAAGGCAGAGCCAAAGCTTTGGCATCTCTGCTCACAAGGACCCAGTCAAAAGTTAGGCCGTGGTCTAGAGTTGGGGGCTTTTTTTTCTTTTTTTATTGTGTCATTGCATGTCTCTCCTTCAAGAGCACAGAGGAGAAACCAGAGAGGCTACAAAGGATCAGAGGGCCATGTGCATGGGGCTGGGGCACGATGCCAGGCTCTGCTCCCAATGTAAGGTTCAGGGGGACTTGGGCCATTGCATTTTTTTTTAAGATTTTATTTATTTATTCATGAGAGACACATGCACACGCACACACACACACACACACACACAGAGGCAGAGACACAGGCAGAGGGAGAAGCAGGCTCCATGCAGGGAGCCCGACACAGGACTTGATCCTGGGACTCAAGGATCACCCCTTTAACCAAAGTCAGATGTTCAACTGCTGAGCCACCCAAGCATCCCAGGCCATTGCATTTTAAAGCGTAGCTCTTAGCACCCAGCATGGCCTGTCCCCGGAGCCCGCTGGGTGCAGAGGGGCCTCCGGGCAACGCCCCCACGACCCTCCAGTCCTGCGGGTGACTCCCTCCCCCGGTACCCCCCCCCCTTACTGGGAGGCCTCCTTGCTCCCTCACAGAGCCACGGTCACAGAGTGACCTGGCCACGGGCCAGTCCTGGGGCACAGTGTGTGCCCCCCCCCACTGTCTGTGCAGGTGGCCTGATGACGGCATAGCACCCATGAGCCGGTTCAGCCACCCGCCACCCCTCACCCCTGGCTGGGACAAGCGGTCCGGGCCCTGGGAATGTGGGGGGGGGGGAAGCACCCAGGCCTCCCCCCCCGAAAGACCCCATCCAGGGCTCCTCCCGGCCCCACACCTGCACCTGCACCTGCACCTGCCCTCCCTGCGCGTCCCGGCGGTACTCACGCTGCTGGGGTGGAGCACCGGCAGTGGCAGCAGCAGCAGCGGCACGAAGATGACGAGCAGCAGGTTCCTGGCGCCGAGGAGGCCCCTGAGCAGGCCCATGGTGACCCTGCGCGCCCTCCCTCTGCTGCTCACCACCTCGGCTCAGTCCAGAAAGACTTCTTCAACCCCTCTGGGCTTCCAAGCGTCCTCTCCTGTCTTGGGGGCAGAAGAGGAGGACAGTGACAGCTCCTCTCTTGTGCACGGAAGCCTGGGCACCGGGCCTCGGGTTTAGGTGGGGTTGCTGAGCATCGTTCTCGGCCCAGCAGAAAGGCACCGGGGGAGGGTGATGGATGGAGGCATACTGGGGTCCCCCTTGGCTCGGTTAGCAGTACAGAAACTTCATCCTAGGGCTCAGGCAAAAGCCCCCCTAAGCAATCAAAGTCGCACCTCTGCTGCTGCTGTTGAGCCTTGAAGAAATCATCGACAGGCTTTAGAAACTGAAGACTACCGAGCACATGTGATAAGTACCCTCCATCAGTTTTCCTCTGTCTGATGGCCCGTTTGGGGCAGTACCAATTTCTCCTCTACCTCTGCTTGCTGCACCCCCTTCCCTTAACACGGGCCCCCAAGTTTGGCGGTGGCAGGTGCAGGCCTCAAACAGGGCTGGTCTTCTCTCCCCAGGATCTGGCACCTGCACTCGGTTCCAATTTCTTTCCTTCAAACTGGTTTCCCACTTATAATTTGCCTGGAGCCTGGGCCTCCAAAGCAGAAAAAAAAAAATCCCCAAGACTTTCCTTGCTGTCACGGGACAAAATCTTGCGGGAGGTCCACCTTAACTTTCCTTCACCTATGGGAAGCCGGAGGGAGCAGCAGCCCCGCCCAGGCCTCAGAGCCAATCGGTAGGTTGGAAAGATCCAGGCCGTATCTCTTCCAACTGCACTCCTTGGTTGGTCCCAGCAGGGGCCTGCTGAGTCTGCAGAACCCAGGCAACTTGCAGAGCTTATTTTTGTTTCTCAAACATCCTAGGGGCTGGAGTGATGATCATCACCGTAAGCATAATCCCACTCACGCAGAGCTTTCCCTGGGAGAGCCACTTCCTAATGCAGTCCTTAGGACCATGTGTTTGGTGGCAGGGAGAAAATGAAATCATAATTCTGGAGAAATTTGCCTCCCCGGGGTGTACAGTATTAAGCCCTTCAGACTTCGCTGATGACAAAGACCGTTTGCTTCAGCGTCTGAGTGAATACGAAGCATCTGGGTCAGCAGAGAGTGTTAGCCTGTAAGAAAGACCACAGACCTTTTTAGGGACATTGGGAAGGATAGCTACCTCTCTCGAAAAGTCTAGATGCCAGTCTCAGCTCAAGACCCCTGGAGCCCAGACATCAGTGGTCTTTCTTGATTGGGGTAGGGGCTCAAGTGCTCCCCTCTGAGGCTCTTTACGAAAAAAGAAGCGGAAAGCTTCCTTTTGCTGGTATGCAAGGAGGAAGGACGTGGGAGGGCAGAGAAGAAGCTGACGAGTTCAGGGTCAGGGCCCTAGCAGCTGTTGCACTCTGGAATTTCTGCTGCTTCGAGATCAGGAGAAGCTGTTAGCCTTTTTTTTTTTTTTTCAGAAGGGACACATGGCTAAGGTTACCCTTGTTTTCTTGAATTCGCAAAATGCAAGAACGGCACCCCCAGGTGTGCAGCTATACCAGTCAGAAATGATCCCTAGGCTAAAAGCAAAGTGACTGGAGAAGTGACTCCAGAAAACCAGTTCTTCTTGACTTCCAAGGCAGGTGCAATTATGGACAGTCCAGGTTCCCTTGAGGTTATCTTGCCATTGTAGGATGGGCGACAGCGACCCATCTCTCTAAACACGTCTTAAAGGCCCGCCCCAGTGGAGACCCGCTCCATTCGGGCCTCATTCTCGTGATGATTCTGAAACTCAGAATGAACCAGACCACACTGTGTGATGTCTGGGTGGCAAATAGTAAAGAGGTTGAAAAATAATAAACAGCGGAGGAAATCAACATCCACCACTAAACCCCTAGACCACTTCAAATTCCTTGGTGAGATAATCTGACATGACAAAGATTCCACTGAGCCTAGTAAACTCAATCATGACATTTTTATTACACCATAAGTGATTAATTGTTAAATAAAATTAGGTAAGGTGAGCAACACAGTTAAGACCAGTAGTTCTCCCTCAGGACTTTATCCATTTTTTCAGATGAAGAAAACATTTTCCAGAATACTGTGCTTGAGAAATACAAGGCAGGTTCCACTTAGATGAGGTATCTAAAGTAGTCAAACTCTTAGAAACAGAAAGGAGAAAGGCAGTTGCCAGGCACTGTGGGGCAGAGGGGAAGGGGGGATGGTTCCAGAAGTAGCATTTTTCTTTTTTTTTTTTTTTTTGCAAGATGAAAAGTTCTAGAGATCTGTCTGAGCGTTTCCATACCTCACACGTAGACATTCGGATGGAAAATCGCGCGTTGTGTTGGTGACCACAACTAAAAACACGTAAGGCGTTAAAAAGGGGTTAGGAGACTAAGGGACGCCATGTAGACATTTGACAAGCGTTTCATTTGAGACCAGTTCACCTGTAGAAACATATTCTGGCTGATTTATCACTGAGGTGATTCTCTTTTAGACTCGAGGTGATAGATGACAGCAATGCCCGCCACAGACACCACACCCCCAATGATTCGGTCTATGAGTAAATAGGGCAAAACGTGACCCGGCTGTGATCATGGTGTTTACAGTGTGGTATTAATGAGGCAAAAATGGGACAGTCCGTTTCTGTCCGGTCTATTACTTCACTGTTCCTTGAGCAAAAGGTCGGGTCTTGGGGTGGTGGTGGTGAGCGATATATTTGATTTTGCACCCAAATAAAGTTATTGTTATAAAATTTCTTGTGGGTAAACGATCACTTTGTGATCAGCCTAAAATAGTAATTAATAGTGTCATCCAGTTACTGAAAATGAAATTTTCATTTGCCTTTCAAAAGGTCATGCCCTTCTTGTTTCTTTTTTTTTTCAATCATTGACTGCCACGTAAATATGGGCCCCAATTTATGACTGCACAAGTGCCTTTAATTTTTTGCTGCTGGGTGAATGAACTACCATTTGATCACTGGTCCTAGGGACCATCCTCCCATTCATGGATCTCCTACCTGTCAAAGCAGCCATGTATATCATAACATGGTAGCCAGGGACTACAGGGTGGTCTTCCCACCCAGTGACTGGAAGAAAGTGCTCAGATCTATCCTGATGGGGGTGGGGCCCTGGGGTGGGATACAAGGCTCTGATGTCAGGCTATTGCACAATGTCGAAGGGTTGTGGCCTCTGCTCACCTACCTCCTCCCCATCCCACATCTAGGGAAAGTGCAAATAGTGAAGGCAGGCCATGAGGCTAATCTGCCTCTTGGGAAATCCTGACCCTGTACATTGACCTTTGTTTGAGTCACACAGTGATACCTAAAGGGGGTGGAAAGACAATGGGTGTCAGAGTGCAGGCAGGCAGAGTTCGAGTGAGCAAAAGTCAACCAACAGAGACTGGGAGATGCCTTGAAGAGGTGGATCCAAAGATAATCAGCATTGGGCCCCAAGAAAGAGCAGAAGAGACATCAAGTAAAACAAAAAGAGACCAGCTTAGTGACCGTGTGTCAAAGAGAACACATACTATTAGAGAGAAATTGAACAAAAAGCATGTATCAGAGACTAAATTTGAAGTTATTAATATACTGAGCCCAAGAACATCAGGATGTTATTTCTCCAAAGCGATCATGCAGCTTGGGCTGCTTGGCAATCATGTAGTCGAAGTTTTTAAGAAGTCCAGAGCAGCTTTAGGCATCACCAAGTGACAGTTGTTAAATACCCATTTCGGAATCAAATTTAGCCTGATAAGGTCTCACTCATGCAAAGGTTAGACCTCTTTCGGTGTTAGCCTCCCAAACCCAGCCGTCAACCTAGGGGAGCCAGAAAGATCTCTGAGCTGGTGAGGAATCTGTATGAGAGCCCAGTGCTTCACTGCGAGCAGAGACCTTCATCTACTAACGCTTATTTGACATCGGGTTGTAACAAGCCTAGCCATCCTGTTCTTCTACAAAAGAACAAATTGCAAAGGGCAGGCTACGTAGGCAAGAAAGAAAAAGTGCACTCTTAAGTCTCACAGTGAAGAAGGCGACAGGAGCTCCCATACACACAGAGTTAGCAAAGCCTGGGGCCTTCCAGGGCTGGTTGGGACAGTCCAACAGACCCCTCGGTCCTGCTTTCCTCTCTGTAATAGCTCACGGTTCCCTCAGTGATCATGGACATTTCAGAGGCCGAGCCCTCTTAGAGGTGTTTTATCCAACTCCATCAGGATTCTTCAAGAGAACTAAATAAAAGCTTAAGGTGTTTCGTATGTGTAGTTTAAAGAGATACCAGGTCAATATTGCTAGAAGGAAAGTTTTGGCATTTGAGAGGGGAAATTCCATCATCCGAAATATCTTTATTTGGAGCATCTCATTTTCTGATGGTGCTAAATAATTTCAAGCATTCGGCTAGGCATGGCCGTTGGTGCCACCTCCTCATTAGGGGGACCCTCTGTGCACTAGCTTGCTTTCTCTGTTGAGAAGACAAGAGCCAGGGCATGGCTGTTGGCAGCCTTTCTGCTTCTCCCCAGGAAGGCAGCCCCCTTCCTGTTTCTCCTCTGTGTTAGCTTAGCTTTCAGAGAAGAAGAATCAAGACATATAGGTCATTAAATTACTGCTTTTCTAACTGATTCTTCTTGGTGACTTTTGGAAAAGTTGAGAAGCCTATCTTTGACCAACAACGTATTTATCTGGCTATAGCTCTAGGTTGGCTTTTTTTTTTTTTAATATTTTACCATAGAATCTTTGGAAAGATGTTTAATCAACTCACACCCCAGAGGTCTGTCCTCCATCTTCCCGCCGTGCCCAAACCTCTGTGCTGGATCCTCTAGCTCTGGCCTTGCTCTAGGGTATTTGTGGCAGTCACTCAGTGTTGAGGCATATCCTAGACTTCCACATGACACTCAGCAAATCATTTGGCCTTTGGAGGAATCTCGAATTCCCACCCTTGACCTTTCTTCCAGCGCAGGTCACATGGTGACATGGGTCAACGTGCTTGTCAGGGATCTACAAAGGGCAAAGAACATGGCGCCACTTGTTTTACCTCCACTACTCTGAGTTGGTGGCATGTGCTTCGTTGCTGGGCTCTGTAAACAGAGTAGAGAAGGAAGAGTATTTGGATTACTGTGTGTGCTGGTCCCTGTCCCGTGGTCCTGGTGTGGGCCGGTCTCTCAGGGAGACCCTCTGGGGCCCGAGGACCGCATCAAGTCATGCCTCAAGGCCTGGAAGAGGCTAAGGAGGGACTGGGCCCAGATGTCCTTCTGATGCCCTTGGGACAGGGCTGTGCGGTAGGCCGTGTAGGCCAGGGTCAGCGCTGTCCTTTCAAAGTCCTCCTTCTTGAGGATGCCAGGGTGGCTGGAGAGGCTGGCGCTCAGCCGGCGGATATCCGGGATGTGCTTGGGGATCACGTCATTGCAGATGATATGGAAGTCAGCGGCCTTCCTCAAGGAGGCCAGCTCCTCGTCCTTGATGGCGATCTTCAGGTCAGGGCTGATGTCAAGTTCAGCTAGCAGGAACTGGAGAGAGAGACACGGGACGGAGAAAGACATGAAGCATTCGGGCATCGTTGAGGGCATCATTGCAATCGTTATCACAGATGTTCATTTAGGGCGGCTGCTGCCTAAAAGTTTCCAGTTCTGACCTTTCCACTGGCTGTGTCACCCCCCGAACGAGTTACTCAACTTCTCTGAGCCTCATTTTCCTCCTCTGTGAAATGATTAGTGACCATACTTCCCTGGGATATTGAGAGAAGTAAGACAAGTCACGACGACGTCTAGTACCGTGCCAGGCACAAAGCCACTGTTTCAGTGACTGCTTATTGTCACCAGTGGTCTGGACCACCGTGCCAGCCCCTGCTTCCCTGCCTCCCTCCCTCACATCCACCAAAGATCTCCTAAAGCATGAACTGACTATTTTGGGTAATCCAAGATCAGAAGTTGAATTTGAAGGATGCAGAGAATGGTGCTAGGAATGAAGTGGGATTCAGAGATCTGGCCACATTTTTCTCCTGTTCTTGAAGAGCAGCACAGAGCCTGCCACATGGGTCCCCCACTCCGTACCAGACTCATACCAGGAACTTAATAAATGCCTCTTGGATTCCGAGTTCTAACTTTCCTCCCTGTCTCTGACTCCTCCTGGCGCTAACCCACCCTCCATGCTACTGTCTGTGATCTTTCTAGAACAGCTCTGTTCATGTGGCTCCCAAGTTCAAGACTTGGCAAAGTTGGTTCCCCGTGGCAGGATCTGAAATCTCCCCTCCTCCCCCCAGCTCACTGCTCGGCCGCAGTAGGCTGTCTCTTTCCGAGCCAGACAGTTCTGGTCCGTGGGGGATATGAGAGGCCAGAGGGGAATTTCGGAGATGGCCATAGCTCCCCAGTTAACAGTTGAGGAGATTCAGGCCCAGAGAGCGATGGTGGCTTACGCAAGGTCACACAGCCGATGGGGGCCAGGGCTACAGCTCGGATTCTGAAACTGGAGCCTTATCGTGAACCAGTCTGAGCAGCTCTGGGGAGCTCCCCCGTGGTCTGCAGGCGGGGTGAGGTCTTTGCATGCAGTTATTGGGGACAGGGACACGGCTCTCCTCAGATGGTGGTGTGGCATCTCCTGACCCCCGCCCCCCCGATGGGTCCTGCCTCAAGGCCTGTGCCTGGGAATGTTGCCCTGCTCTGTTGCTTGGGTGCCTGTAGTGGCATCTCTGGGCCACATGGAAATCTCTAATTTTGCCTCCACTGAACTCCTGATGCCACCATGAGTGACCCTGTCATGGGAAGGAGGTGTGAGGAAGACCTCATTCTGGGATGGGCAGGATGGGATGAGCCCACCAAATTGTTATTTATTTATTTATTTATTTATTTATTTATTTATTTATTATTATTTATTTATTTATTTTACCAATTCGTTTAGACCAGGCCGTACGGCAAGAGGCCGCTCATCCTCCCACACTTAGGCTCCTTCTCCAAGAAGACCACAGAGAGGGTGCAATGCCTTTGGCGGGACTTGACCACTGTCCCATCTGCCTACCTCGTAGAGCAGTTCTACATCGTCCAGGGAGCTCTGCAGGACGGGGTTCAATGGCATCGATGAGGATCTCTTTGGCCGGTGGGCGGCAGGGAAGAGCACAGCTGCAAGAAACAAGAGTTAGCTCGGGGGGCCACTGCGTGCACGCGGCTTCCTTGCTCCCAGCTGGCCTGGAGGGTGGCCAGCCGGCCTGGGGAGCGACTGACTCCAGGTGGTGGCGGCCGTGAAGCGGGGAGAGGTGATAGCTCTGGTGTGTCCCCGAGGGCTCCCAGGCGTGTCAGATGTTACTAGCTCAGACCAGTGACTTCAAACCTGGCTCCTCATCAGAAGCGTCCCAGAAAGCCTTGAAAAATAGGATATGTATCCCCTAAGGCATTTATGTAAAGCAAACTAAAACAGAAGTGAGCAAACCAACAACCCCTTGCCCTCCCTAATTTAACAAAGGAGTTCTCTAATAATACGGTCCCCTTGATCAGTGTGAAGGGTCGGTTCGTGTTTGTGGACAACCCTTTTAATCAGAGGAGCAGACTTGCGGCTACTCCCCAGGCATCTGCAAGAGCTGCCAGGAATCTGAATACAGGTGACAACGTTCAGGAAGAGAGCGGGCACCAGACCCTGACACTTGGCCCTCGGGGTGTGTGGAGCTAAACTCAGGGCTTCCCCCAAGGGCCGGCGGACTTATAGATGCACTTGCTATGAAGTCAAGGACTTGCCAGTGTTATTCCTTGGTGACTGCATTTAGAAGTTGTAGCTGGAGGAAGATGGATGAGCCCCTGGAGGCCGGCGGGGGTGGGGGGGTGCAGGTGACGCGGGACAGGTGAAGGAGAAGAAAAACTGCTACAGAGTATGGGAATGATCATGAGAAATGGCAGTCCTCCAGGATCGTGTTGGGTGGGAGCCAACAGCCCCGTGTACCCCACGGCCCCACCTCGTACCAGAGCACTGCGCAGAAGTGACTGGTGATCTTGCTGCCAGCTGATTTAAAAAAAACAAAAACAAAACAAAAAAACGTGGATCTTCTTCAAGACACTTGATTGGGATCTACCAGAAGCCTGGACAGCTAGCTGGAAAAATCCACGAGAGACCTGGAGGTAAGTAGCGCCCCCCAAAGGTGTGTGAAGCACAAGCTGTGCAATCCTGTGTGACAGTTCTCCTTCTCGATGATGGTGCCCTTGGAACCATCCAGAAAGAGTCCAGTGTGGTCTAGCATACTGCAGTTAAAGAAGGCAGGGCACTGCTCAAGTATTTGGGGTTTTCTATTGCAAGTGATAAAAATGCAACATCTTCGATATGAAGGGCATTTCCTGAAAAGCTCACTGGTAGGCATCTCCCACCTCCTGGAAAAAGCTGGTCAGCAAGGCGTCGTACTGCTGTAATACTGTTTACTGTGTAAGTCATTTATTATCTACACCGCGGGCTCCTCATGGGCGAGGATACAGATGGTTTCGTGTTTCTGCACCCCCAGCAGAGCCCCGCAGGCTTCCGGGGTAGTGTGCAGGTGTTGGCGACCAACGGCCAGGGAGCAGTGGGGTAACCAGCTCTGCTCCCCCAGAGCCCTTCGGGGGAAGGAGCCAATGAATCGCAGAGCAATATTTCCTAGCCCAGCAGTTTAGCAAAATTTGTTTTCTTTGCCAGAAAAGTGCCAACTTCCCATAGAACCATCGATTTTAGGGCTTGAGAAGGCCTTCGTTTCTGTTCGCTCGTTGCCTCTCCCTATGGTGGCAGGTGGAGGAAGGAGGCCTCTCCTGCTCCCTGATTTGCAACCTTGACCGCACATTAGAATCACCCAAAGGTGTGAAGCCTGGGTCCCAGCTGCAGAGGTTTGGGTTTAATGGAACGAGAGTGCAAATGGGACCGGAAGATTTTTTTTTTTTGAAGCTTCCTAGACTTCTAACGGTGGCTTCTAGGGGCAGCCAGGGTTGAGAATCGGAGGGTGCTTGACCTGACGTCGTGCAGAAGGAGCTGCCCTGGCCGGATGCCGCTTGGAAGTTAACTCAGCGGTTCTCAATATTGACCCGGGAGCTTGGAGAATCCTGAAGGCCGAAGGCCAGCTCCCAGGCCAATGCATGGGCATCTCTGGGGTGGGTGTAGGCAGCAGGACTTTTTACAGCTCCCAGGTCCTTGCAGTGGGCAGCCACTGGGTTATCCAGATCCAGGGTCCTGCCACGAGGCACACCCCACACCCAACCGTGGGGGTCATCTAAGGAGACCAGGGCCATCATGTTCTTGGAGACAAATGAATAGAGGCACAAATAAGGTAGGTACTTTGACTCCACTTTCTCCTTGGTGGGAGAGGACACCAGGACCAGACCTGGTCCTAGACCAAGACGTGGCCTGCTTCTTTCTGCATGCCCTTCTTTTCTTCTTACCATGAGAGGGTGGATGAAATCTCATTCTCGGGATAGGATCTGAGAGCAACTTTACTTCTTTAATTCTTCTCCTGGGATTCCATTCTTACTGTGAAATTACAGGTATTGTTCCTTTAAAAAAAAAATCACACCCCAGCAGGTGAAGGGGCTAGGAGGGGATGAATGGCCTGTGCATGGAGCCCTTTCTGAGATGGCCGCCTTCTGGGAAGTTCTTCATGGTGAAATTGTCTCCCTGTGAACGCCAACACTCCTTTAACACCCCCCCCCCACCAAGTGGACCCTGACTCCTCAAAGAATGGGGAGGAAAATGGTTGTGGATTCAAAACTCAGCTGGATAATGAAAATGCTGTTGTTCCCAAGAGCCCTTATTCTGATTCCTTGAAAACTGGTAACACAGTTTGGGGACGATCGTAGGTGTCAGCCTCTAGACCAGGAGGCAGATCGTTGCCCCAGAAAGTGTGTGCAGGGAAGCACAGAAAGCTGACGGATGGATTCCTCCCTCCTGGTTCTCCGGCTCCACCTGCTTCCACCACCTTCTGCCGGAACTCGTCCCCATGCTGGGGCTGCTGGGACAGCGGGGCAGGCAGATGCTTTCGGACGGCGCTGGGTGTGCAAGTGCAGCCGGCCCTGGGCCCAACGTCGGAGAGGCCCGGGTCTGACTTTCTGTGAACAGGGGGAGGCCCGGAGAGTGTAAGTTCCCCTTTGCGGAGATGCTGGAGGCAGGGGTGGACACAAGGCATGTCCGGGCCACAGTGAAACATGTGGGTGAGAGGTTAAATACACAGTCCCTCCAGATGTTCTCGTCTCCGACAGCAGAGGCTGGACTCCCAGACATGTGAACGGCCCAGGCGGGAGCTGAGCAGCTCCCGGGAGCAGAGCCGTGCAGACTGGAACCAGCCCCGCTCCCCCGGGGGGCCCTTCCCTGCAACCCCGCCGCCACTGCGGCCCCCGTCTGCCCTCTGCAGCCAGGCCCCCCATTTCACATCTTGCCATCTGGCCCCCCGAAAATGTTCCTTGGGGTGGCCCGCTCCTGGGAGCAAGGGGGGACGTCTATGCTTCCCCTCCTTGACCTCGAAGTCTGCACGAGGCTGGGCTCCAAGGGAAGGCTCAGTGTATGGGTGGGGGTGGTTTTAAAGGATTTCAAAGCCAGGGACTTCTAAAAAGCCTAAAGAAAGCCAAACCAGCCACGGAGACCCTTCAGGCTTTGCTGAGCTTTCCCCTTTCCCCTTGCCTCTGCGGGGGTCCCTGCAAGTCCTGCTGCCCGTGCACTGTGGGCGATCAGTGACCTGCTCGGGGCAGCATGATCTTCAGCAGGCTGATGGCAGGGAGTCTTGAGTGCTCCCCACGGATGGCCATTAGCCACGCAGCTTCTCTGAGAGAAGGGGGGTAGCGGGGCGCAGTGTGCGAGGCCAGAGGCTGGAGAGGGACCTACTTGCTAAATGTCATGCACATGCACTAAGATAGTCCGGGAACCGGATCCAGAGATTGCAGGGGCCTCTGCTATGGCAGGTCGTGTCCAGCTCTTCTGCTGGGAGATGCATTCGGACCGCAGGCCGAAGGGGTCACAACGCGAGCTCAGCTGCCATGGCAGCTCGTGAGCCCACTCCTAGCTGCACAGTGCACCGTCAGGTGGGTACTAACGTGCCTTTTCATAGATGAAGAAACGTGGAGGTTAAGAAACTGGCCCTAGGCCACCCGATTTGTTTGTATCACTGAGATTAAATCGAGACCTGTAGGCTCCCAAACCCTATCTCCCTGATAGGGACGGAGGACAATGCTATCTTCCCGCAGGTGTGGCGCCTGAAGACTGGGCTCAGGGAAGATAATGTAGTTCATTATGGATGAAGGCATTTGGTATAAAACATATTCTGAAATGAATCACATGTGATTTTTTTTTTTGAGTGAAAGAGTGTGTGTGAGCACAGGGAGGGGCAGGGCAGGGGCAGGAGCAGTCCTCAAGCAGACTCCCCGCTGAGCATGGAGCCCAATGCAGGGCTCGACCTCACGACCCTGAGATCTTGACCTGAGCTGCAATCAAGAGTCGAATGCTTAACCAACTGAGCCACCCAGGCGCCCCATCATTCTATTCTTTTTTTTAAAATATTTTATTTATGGGGATCCCTGGGTGGCGCAGCGGTTTAGCGCCTGCCTTTGGCCCAGGGCGTGATCCTGGAGACCCCGGATCGAATCCCACGTCGGGCTCCCGGTGCATGGAGCCTGCTTCTCCCTCTGCCTGTGTCTCTGCCTCTCTCTCTCTCTCTCTCTCTCTCTCTCTCTCTCTGTGTGACTATCATAAATTAAAAAAAATATTTTATTTATGTATTCATGAGACACACACACACACACACACACACACACACACACAGAGGCAGAGACACAGGCAGAGAGAGAAGGAGGCTCCATGCAGGGAGCCCGACATGGGACTCAATCCTGGGACTCCGGAATCATGCCCTGGACCGAAGGCAGACGCTCAACCACGGGGCCACCTGGGGATCCCCAATCATCCTATTCTTAATACAACTAAAGTGATTCTGTGAAAACATAGGTCAGATGCTGTCACTCATTGTCCAGAACCTTCAATGGCTTTCCATCTCACTCAGTGTGAAAGCCAAAGATCTTCAAATGTCTACCAGGTGCTATGTGACTTGACTTCTTACCACCTCTCCGAGCCTGTTATTCCCCACCGGCTCCTGCCACCCTAGCCACAGGCCGCTTCCTTGAGCATTACCAGGCATGCTTCTGCTGCAGGGCCTTTGCACCTCTGTTTCTCCTGCCTGGACTACTTTCTCCAGCAGTCGCTTACTCCATGTTTCCTCCAGGCCATCAGTCACGCCCTCAGGGACACCCTCCCTGACTTCTCTATTTGAAAATATAATCCTGCATACTCTGTCTCTCATATATTGTCATCCAGCACACCAGAGGTCTTACTTACATACGTGTTTATGTCAGTTTCCCTTACTAGGATGTCAGCTCCCTGAGGTCATGGGATCCTGTCTGTTTTTTTGTTTTTTTCTTAAAGATTTTATTTATTTATTCATGAGAGACACACAGAGACACAGGCAGAGGGAGAAGCAGGCTCCACGCAGGGAGCCTGACGCGGGACTCGACCCTGGGACCCAGGATCACACCCCGGGCCGAAGGCAGGAGCCAAACTGCTGAGCCACCCAGGGATCCCAATATCCTGTCTGTTTTGCTTGATACTGTATTCCCGGCACATAGCATCCTGCCATGACTATTGAAGGATTAGATGATCCCATAGAAACACATTAACTACCCTTGTCACTAAACTCCACCCTTTTCAAACAGAGTGCTTTACTAAATCCTTCTCTCCGGCGTGGGCGGGGGGGGGGGGGGGGGAGCTCCCTCCCTTTTTTTTAAAAGCTGGGTGTGGAGCCCTATATGGGGCTTGAATTCGCAACCCTGAGATCAAGACCTGAGCTGAGATCAAGAGTTGGGCGCTTAACTGACTGGGCCACCCAGACGCCCCTCAATTCTTCTCTATCTAACAAGTTGATTCTAGAACTTATTTGCAGTTCCAAGTGCTGGCTAATTATCAAAATATAGATAAGGTCTGTCTCTGCCATCCCCTCCCTTTATCTCCCAGGAGCCTGTATTCCTCCCTAGGAGAAACTACTTTTTTTTTTTAGAAGATTTTATTTATCTATTTATTCATGAGAGACACAGGGAAAGAGGCAGAGACACAGGCAGAGGGAGAGGCAGGCTCCATGCAGGGAGCCCGATGTGGGACTCGATCCCACACCCCTGGGCCAAAGGCAGACGCTCAACCGCTGAGCCACCCAGGTACCCCGAGAAGCTACTTTTAATGATCTCAATCAAAGGCCACCAGCTGTCTCCCCTACACTTTAGCCCATCCAAGTCTTCTTGCCCAGACATACGGACAAAAGTCTCCCTAAGTGGAAGGGCCTATCTTTGCTTTGCAGCCTGACCTTCTCGTTGACTTTATGTAATCTGGGATAAAAATCTTCCTCCCCCAAATCCTCCAAATATGTCTAATAGAACAGAATGGCATTAAGGCTAACCATGGCTCCCACGTAACTGTACACAGCATTTGTACCAAAGAGCTTGCTGGAAGGGATTCAGGGCCTGCACACCATATCAGCCCAAACCCAATGATATTTTCAACGAATCCCTTGAAGCGACTCAATGGAAATGGCAATGGGTGTGGAAAGGAAAAACTTCCTTTATGAAAGATCTTGGGTGGGGACGCCCACCCTCTCCGGGGTGGTGAGGGAGGGCAGCCAGACCCTGATGCCCCAGACATGGGTTGGCTGCCAAAAATCCATCTGTCGCCTTCGAGCTGAGTGATCTGGGCTCGTGGATTGCTTGCCCATCCTCTATCTTCCTACCTGCGGATGCTCAGAGGAGCGCCTGCCCCATGGAGGCACTGCGGCCGTGCAGGGGGGCGGGGGTGCGCCCAGCTACGTCCTGTTAGTCAGTCAATACCTGTTGAACACGGATCCACCAATCACAGGCCCTGCCCTTCGTGGAGTGTTCATGACTGGAAACACACACAGCACTAAAAGGGACTCCTGACAAAGACAATCCACCTGCTAACTGAAGGGCCGTTCTTCCCTATGAACCTGCTTTTAAAAAGAACAATTTACATGTGTTTAATAAAAACGCTTATTTATAGTATTTAATACATATCTTTCTTTCTTTCTCTTTTTCTTTCTCTCTTTCTTTCTTTCTTTCTTTCTTTCTTTCTTTCTAGACTGGTTAGTTCCCATCAGCCCCCCAAAGGGCACGCTGGCAGGACCTGGGGGCTTGGGCCAGATGTGTCCAACTTCCGGGCTGGCCTCACTAACCACAGGTGAGTCATCTGGGTCTCAGTCCAGCTGGTGGGGCTGGCATGGAAAGCTGCCTCCCAGGGCGGAATCCTAGAGAGCACTTGTAGGGAGAGGCTGTCCTGACAGAAGGGTGTGTTCCTTTTGGGGTTATTTCTACATTTCCACTTGGGGCAGGGGGTGGGAGAGGGTGGAGGCCTGGGTGCTGGTGCAGGGATGGGGTGGGTGGTGGTGGTGGTGCCGGAGAGGGGTCCAGGGCGGGGGGAGAGGGGGAGGTGTTGTAGGAAGAGGAGGAGGACCTCGCAGGGAGAGGTCGTCCTCAGGCTCTATGGACAGGGAATTCCTCTAAATTAGGCCTGGCACTGGGGTGGGGGTGGGGGTAAGGATGAAGGCGAAAGGAACAGTTAAGTACATTTGGAAAAGTTGTTTTTTTACTTGGGTGTGACTCCCATTCCATCTTTCAAAAACGGCAGTTGGGTATTCCTTTTATAATTAGGAAAAAATGTCAAAAATGAAAAAAAAAGTCAACTACGTGGAAGACTTCTGATGATGGTTGGAGGGACTCTATCACTTGTTGACTCCAAGCCCTGCCGGGAACCGCTAATCCAGCGCTTAACAAAGCTGCCCCCTCATGGCCTCTGGTCCAGCTGTGCAGGCTTCCTGTCTCTAGATAGATTTGATATTATTATTTAGGAGCAGACCTTCCCCGGGGAGGGTACAGCACTGGCTCCCAGGACGTTGCTGATAGAACCTTCTGTTGAAGGAGAGCCTCAAACTTTCTTCAAGGAAAACTTGCCATTGGTTTATATGGTAGGTGATCACTCACATTTATAAGCCACTTCACCACTTGCAAAGCGTGTTATTCACATTTTGGATATGACCTTCACCATGCGCAGCGAAGATAAGCTTTGATATGGTTAATATGTGACCTGTTAGCTCAGAGAGGTTAAGAGACTTGCCAGACATCACACAGCTAATTAGAGGCAGGGCTTAAATCTTTGAGTTCCTTGCAGGATTGCCCATGACGTGGCTTTGGTATTTGCAAGCCTTGTTATAAAGCGAATTATCTCATTTGGCTTTCTAACGGCCTCTGCACTGGGGGGCGGGGGGGGGGATATTATCCTCTTTTTCTAATAGACAAAATAGGGAAGGGCCCCAGTAGCACACAGGGTAAGCGGCCTAAGGTAATGCCAAGGTCTCTTTGCTTTCCCAAGTGTTGCCTCTAAAGTCTGTGCACATCACGAGCAGAGAAGGGATGTGTGGGTGATATGACCAGAAAAAAAGGAAAATGCTCCATTAATGATTTGCCTCTAAGTAGCAATCATTTCACAGCTCAGCTAAGAGAATTGGCAAGTCCCTGATCTCAAGCCTGAAAATGAGGGAATAGAATCCGAATCAATGCAGCGCCCTTTCAGATCCGTGTCAGATCCGTTTGCTCTGTGCTGCTCGGTTCCAGTTCCGCACTGGCTGCTCCTTCCTTCCCCAACACTCTCCTGGAGAACCTGGAGGCTCAGCCCCCACCCCCACCCCTCCCTCCAGGCCAGCCCTCATCCTGTTTTGGATTTCTAGAAACACCTAGGAGCCTGACTTCTTTTTCGGGTGCTTTTGAGGAGAGAGACCTCAGTTGACTTTGGGCAGTGGGGAGGGTTGGTGAGCTCTGCACAGAGAGGTCCACACTCCTGCTCCCTCAGTCCCCAGCAGCGATCAAGTCTAATTGGCTGGACGTGCTAACTGGAGCCTGTATTCCAACTGGAGCCAGTCCTGGGCATAGGAAAAAGATGCCACATGGTCCCAAGGGAAGGGAAGTTGGCCATGAGGGAACAGCCTCGCCGGGCTCCCTCCTGTTCCAGGTGGACCCAGGGGCCGGTGGGTGGGAGTAGCAGTCCGGTACGCACGTCAACGCCAAAGGGTTACTCTTCCCCTCCTGCCCCTGGGCCAGCTCTCCCCAGCTGGAAGGGTGTCGTCCACCCCAGCTTGGAAGCAGCATGGAGACCTCCATGTGGACAGCCAATGCCCAGCGTCCCTTGTTGGGGTCCCCCGGGTAGCAGGCCTGTTGCACTGCAGCACCCAGAGTCCCACGATGCCAGCATCAGGTACCTGCCCTTGACATGCCCTGCCTGGCTGTAGCTGCTGGGTGAGGGGCGTGGGGGGCTCGAGGGAGTCTGCTCAATCTTCTTTGAGGCAAAGAGGTCAGAAGGGGATGCCCTCTGCTTTCTTCACCTCGACCAGGTGCCCTCAGTGGCTTTGATATTTTGCAGTGTCCCATCCATCCTCATCAGCTTCTAGCACCTTCTAACACATCAGGAAGCATAAAGCAATTGGCAGAGGAGGGATAAAAGAGAGGAGGAGTGCAGGGCTTCTAATTTCCTTTTGCCAACTTACTCTTTCCCCCTCAAATTCCCAATTGTATTTAAGAAAAGAATAATGAACATCAAACAAACAAACAAACAAACAAACACAAAGCCACTTACCCCTGCTCCACCTGTGGGACACAGTGGCCTGGGCATCGTAACACAACAGCAGAAGCAGCAACGTCTTCCAACACATCTTTTCGTCCAAAAAGGTGAAAAACTGTCCGCAAACCCAATGGGACTTCCGGAGCTACAGGTATGCCCCTACTGGTCCTCCCAGGGTGAGGATACAGTTCTTACCCCCTTCCCTCTGCAGAGGTGCACAGATGCCCTCTCCTGCCCCAGAAGGGTGGGAGAATAATGAACATCAAACAAGGGGGGGTCGGGGGGGTGGGACAGGAATTGGGACCTCTGCTAATTCGACTCTCTCCGGGATTGGGGACTGGGCTTCCACAGAGAGACGCTGTTTTTGAGCACATCTGGAGTGACTCACGGGGCATGTGATCTCCTTGGCAGTGGGGTGGATAAATATAATTTCTGTACTTGAGTTCCATGTGTTGGATGGACCCACTGGAATTTTTCTTTAACAAACAGACTCGTGGAACTTGTTAGAGAGCCCGGCAGAGAGCTGGCTGCTGTCCCCGTCCACACACACACACACACACACACACACACACACACACACAGCAGAGCCAGGGGCGAGGGCTGCAGGAAGAGCTGGGAGGCTTGGTTGGCAGACACTGGGGCTGCCGGGCCAGAGTTGCCTTCAGGACAGCAGAGTCATTGTGGTGTCTGGGCTGAGTGTCACTTGTGGCTCTTCCATGGAGTTGGTGCCTCGGGTCAATTCCAGGAGCCTTCCCCACCCAGCTGGTGGCTGGATGGGGAGTCAGCAGTGGTGAGGAGCAGAAGCAGAGCAGGGCTGTGGCGCCCAGGTATGGTGTATGCAGCCAATGACCCAGGGACCCACAGTGATCCATGACTGCCCGATTTTTGGACTGTGTCTAGCTGGGCCCAGGACCAACCTCTTTGATTCCCCCAAGCAAAATGGTAGAGTTTTTCCATGATCTTTTTTTTGGGGGGGGGAGTACTTACTTAATTAATTAACTTTTATCGAGGTATAATTGACATGTAACACTGTGTACGGGGTGGTGATTCAATTTGGCGCACTTACATATTGCAATATGATGACCACTGTAGTGTTAGCTAACGCCTCTGTGGTGTCACCTGATTATTATTTCTTTTTTGTGGCGAGAATATTGGAGCTCCATGGTCATTTTTAAAGTACTGCCATAGACAGACAGACATCGTGTTTTTTTGTCTCATGCCACTTCTTCACCTTCTCTGAAATTATAGATGTGTAATGCTAGAGCTTCAAGGACATTTTTGGATGACTTGGCCATGTGGGTTTCCAACCTGGGGAGGAGGTGTCCGGTGTGAATGGGTCCTTGGGGGAGACCTCAAGGTCTCTCTGCTTTGATCAGAACATCATTTATGTTTTAAGATTTTATTTATTTGAGAGACAGAGAAAGAGCACGAGCAGTGTGGAGGAAGAAGCAGGGAACCCCACATGGGGCTTGATCCCAGGACCCTAGGATCATGACTGAGCCAAAGGCAGACTCTCAACCGACTGAACCACCCAGGCACCCGCAGAGCTCCTTTTTAAAATTTGTTATAAAAAGTTGCCTGAAAAACAAACTTGACTATAAGATGTGAAAACCCCTGATCCTACTAATATTAACAATAGCCTTTGGTGCTTAATTTGTTTCAGGCACTGTGCTAGGTCCTCTCCTTATCTTGATTGATTTAATGCTGGCAGCAAGCTGTGAGGACAATACAGGACTGCACTCCTGTCCTGTAGACATATAATGTGAGTCCCAAATGTAATTTAACATTTTCTGGTAGGCCGGTTAAAAAAAGGGAAAAGAAACAGTATTGCAGCCATCATAATAATACATTTTATTTGACCCAATATATCTAAAATATAGGCTCATATATGTCATCAATATAAATATCAACAGGATATTTTCTTTCAAACCAAGTCTTTGAAATCCAATGTGTATTCCCCACAGCACATGTCGGTTCAGACCAGCCACATTTTAAGTAGTCAACAGCCACATGTGACCAGCGGCTACTGGTCAGAGCAAAGCTAGAAGGCCAGAGGGCAGGTTCTGGAGCCAGATCAACACAATAAATTTAATTAGCATTTATCACCTCACAAAAGATTTATTGTCTTAGAACTGTCACATGTACAATTGTCACATGTACAATCAAGTTCTATTAGTCGTACTAACCGTGATGTACATCACATCCCCAGGACACATTTATCTTATAACTGGAAGTTTGTACCTTTGACTCACCTTCACCCATTTCTTCTACCTCTGGCAACCACCAGTCTGCTCTCCGTTTCTTTAAGTTTGTTTTTTTTTAGATTCCACATATAAATGAGACCATATGGTATTTGTCTTTCTCTCACTGGCTTATTTCATTTGGCATAATTCCCTCAAGTTCCAACCATATTGTTGCAAATGGTGTGATTTCCTTCCTTCCTATGGCTGAAAATATTCCGGTGTGTGTGTGTGTGTGTGTGTGTTTGTGTATACACAAACCACATCTTCTTTTCCATTCATCTGCGGTGGACACTAGGTTGTTTCCATGTCTTGGCTATTATAAATAATGCTGCAATGCACATGGGATGCAGATGTCAGCTTTAGATAGGGATTTCATTCCCTATCTACTTCACACCCAGAAATGGCATCATTGGGTCATATGATAATTCTATTATAAATTTTTTGAGAACCCTCTATACTATTTGCTACAGTGGCTGCACCAGTTTACATTCTCACCCACAGCGCTCAAGGGTTCCCTTTTCCCCACATCCTCACCCGCACTTGTAACTGCTCGTCACTTTGCTGATAGCCAGCCTGACAGGTGAGGTGATATCTTATTGTGGTTTTGATTTGGTGGTGACATGTATGTAACATTGTGTACAATGTGGTGATTCGATTTGGTGCACTTACATATTGCAATATGATGACCGCTGTAGCGTTAGCTAACACCTCTATCATGTCACATGATTGTCGTTTCTTTTTTGTGACGAGAACACTGGATGTCCTTGATCATTTTTAAAGTACTGCCATAGACAGACACCGTGGTTTTTGTCTCGTATCACTTCTTCACCTTCTCTGAAATCTATAATTTCAGAGAAAGTGATGAGTGTAGGTGAGGGCCTTTTCATATACCTGTTGGTATGTCTTCTTCAGAAAAATGTTCAGTTCCTCTGCCTGTTTTTTAAATCAGATTGTTTGTTTTTTTGCTGTTGGGTTGTATGAGTTCTTTTTTTTGGGGGGTATGAGTTCTTTATATGTATTGCATACTAATCCCTTATCAGATATATGATTGGCAAGTAATTTCTCCCATTCTGTAGGTTGTCTTTTAATTTCGCTTTGGTTTCCTTTGCTATTCAATGTACTTCCTTTTTAAATTTACAAAGATAGCCCAAAGGACCTAGCACGGGACTGGGCACTCTAGCTTCCCATGGAATATTTGTGGACTGTTGAGGAAACAGAGAAAGCTCCAGCTCCCCCTGTTCTCTTGCCAACACTTCCACGAGTGCGACAGTACTGGGGAGGGAAGATGGACATGACTGCCTGGCCACATGGAAACCAGGGCCAGAAATGATACTCTTGGCTTCTAGTCCTAGACTTTTTCATTTGTAGGCTCCAATCACCAAACTGTTACCTACTAATTCCTAAACTGGATTGAGGATTGGCTTTTGGATTTGGGTTGGGAATGAATGTATTTGTAACTAATTTCAGTTCATAAGATGATGAACTAGGCCTTCTCTCCCACTGCTACAACTTGGCAGCAGGAGGGAAATGCTTCATTTCTTTGGGAGCCTCATTGAAGCCTTGGAAAACCCTGGCCTAATGCACTGATTCTCCTCCCTCCCCCGCTCTCCTCATTTTTCTTGTTCGTGCTGCAATTCTGCACATGCAGGTAAGACTGGCAAGCAAATGGAAACATTGCCTTTTGTGACAATACAGTAAACCCACAACAATGGAGCTTCACGGAGTTACTGCTTATGTAAAGAACACTTAGGGGTTGGGGAGGATGTGCTACTTAAGGTAACAGTTTTCAAGGACATTCTTGTCCCTGAACTCCCAGTGCATGTAACCTGTGTACCTCTTGTCAGCACCAGACGCTTTACAGCTTAGTTACCCTGACCATTTACTGAATTCTGATCACACATTTTATTTCATTCAGCTTTTATAGCAATTCTGTTCAGTGGAGACTATTATTAAAATAGAACCCATTTTACATATGACAAATCAAAATCTAGAAAAGATAAAGAGCTAGGGTCACACAACTATGAAGTGGTGAGTACTCCCATAGCCTACCTAGCAGGGGCTGAGATAAAAACATGGCACCAGTAAAGCAGCTTCTACACGTTGGAAGCATGCTGTGGCCTAGGGACTGCTGGGCTGGGCCCAGGTAATAGGGAGTAATGGGTGGGGGAGGATTCTGTTCATTTTGAGGGTTCCAGCACAGAAGCGACACGGTCAACACCCATTTGTTTTGTTGTTCACTCCTTCATCTTTTTTTTTTTTTTAAGATTTTATTTATTTGTTCATGAGAGACACACAGAGAGAGGCAGAGACATGGGCAGAGGGAGAAGCAGGCGCCCTGAGGGGAACCTGACGTGGACTCGATCCCAGGACTCAGGGATCACACCCTGAGCCAAAAGCAGATGCCCAACCACTGAGCCACCCAGCTGTCCCATTTGTGTAGTCTTTGAACATCAACTCCATGCCAGGCAGTAGGCATACCAAACCAAAGGAGACATGGTCCTTGGCATCAAGGATCTTTATTCTAATCAGGGAAATAGACACCTCCATAGGTATTTAGAACATGCGATGTTAGAGTTAATGAGGGACGATCCTATGGTAGTAATGAGAGGGGAGGGTTATCTGGGAAGGCTTCTTGGAGGAGCTGACACCTGAAATAGGATGGGTTTGATTTACTTAGGTTGTGGGAGAAGGGACGGTGGGGAGTGGGACAACCTGAAAAATGGCACAGAGGGGAGAAACAACTTGATGTGTATGTGGAACTTAAAGTGGTGGTCTTGTTGAAAGACCAAGGGTGAACCAGGCAGCAGCGGGAGGCAGGCTGGTAGGGAGGCAGGTGTCACCCCTGGATGGTACTCTGCCAGGAACAGGGAGTCCTGGAGGCCACCACCAAGGGAGTGAGGTGGCTAGGCTGCTGAGGGTGGATTTGATAGGGTAGAGACCAGTCGAGGAAGGAGCAGATGCAAAGTTCAAGGGAAAGATGCTAAGGACCTGAATCAGGGCAGGGGCTAGTGGTGAAGGAGAGAAGGGCATGGTTTGAGAAAGACTGAAGAGGTAAAATCAGGAACACACAGTGATTCC